AACACAACATCTTTGTATATTTCATATCACAAAATTATAAAATCATTTCAACCATCTTCAATATACCTTATCATGCACTATTTGAACATAATATCACATTTTTACCATGTATTCATCATAAAATCACATAAACAGCCAATTATTCTCACTTTTCACCGATTATTTCTCATAAAACAAGGATTATTCCACATATAATCGCATACATGACAAGATCTATGAGAATACAAGTAATAAACATAACAAAATGATAAAGTATAACCCCTTCTTACCTCAAAACATAACTTTTACAAAGATTTAACCGAAGATTTTAACTCTAGAACAGAGTTTTTCCTAAGAACATCATGAACATCTATAAGAAGAAGAAGAAAAAGAGAAACGAACGGTAAATCTAGCTATAAACTTAGAGAAACTTACTTGAAATCCTTTAGAACGGACGTAGAATCATAGATTTGAAGAGAAATCTAAGTTTAGGAGGGTTTAGTATGAGAGAAAATGGTGAGATATAGCCTTAGAACCTTTGAGAACCTTGGATAAGAGTAAAGAAATGAAAATTTCATGTGAAACCCCCTTTTTATAAATTTTTTTTGAAATTCACTGTTCACTGCTGGAATTACTGTTCATCGCCAGAAACACTGTTCACTGCATTACTGTTCACGCTGGAAACACTGTGCACGCGTACTGTACACAGACTGTACGCGGATGTGACGTCAGCCATGACATCATCGATTACTGTACATAGGCGGTTTGTTCTGTTCATCGACACTGTTCATAGACGGTTTTACTGTTCACATTTTTAAAATTCTTTTTTAAATTTATTTATTTATATATAAATTCTATCCAAATCTATTCCAATTATACTTTAATAAACCTCATTTTATTTAAATCCAAGTACAGGATGTTGCATGAGAGACTTTGAGAGAATGAGAAATGATGAAGCAAAGTGAGAGAGAATGAGAAAGTGAGGGTCTCAGATTTTTGGGCAGCAAAATGAACAAATGGGTTAAGTTGGCCAATTTATATGAAGGGTCTATGTTTAGACTGGCCAATTGCCACTAAACACTCACAGTTTGGCTTACTTGGCAAGGTTCCAAAGTTCAAAGACTGCACAATGCTTAATTGGTGTACAACTGAAGTGAATTTGGTGAAAAATTGGATAAAGAGGGGTGTCACGGTTTTTAAGTAGGAATAATGAAATTTGTGGGAAACTTGCAAGCAAAGTTAGTACATTTTGGCAAGCAAAATGCATGGAATAGTTTAGGGCTGCATGCACACGATTTTGGTGGAGCAATTTCCAAAAATTGGCACAAAATTTCAAGGTTAAGATTTTGGGCAGCAAATGCATGAATTTTGATTGGCCGGAAAAGAATACGACATGACTAGGTTGACATGTGGACGAGACGTTTGACTTGGTGCTAAATTCAAGAATGGTAATTGATTAAAGCAATCATGGTGTTGAGATTTTGGAAGACAATAAAAGAATGTTCCAAATGATTATGTTTGCAAATCAGAGACAAATTCTCTTGCATGAAATTCTAGTGGCTGATACTAGATTTCGGAAGATTCGGGTAATTACGATGTTTGCAAATTAGGGGACAATGTCTTGTTGCATGAAAATCTAGTGGCCGATACTAGATTTGGAAATCTTCGAAGTAATGATTACTAGATTTTGTGAGATTCCGTGCAATAATTTTGGCGGCTAAGAAATGATTGAAAATCTAGTACGCGTGCAACAAACTCCAAATGAAGCTTGCAATGGTGCATTGGAAAGCTTATTAGTTTTTGGCATTGATGACCTAAACTTTAAATGTTATTCTTTGTTTAACTTTTGGCTCATCAACAATAATGTTTTGGTTCAATTCCTTCTTTCTCAAAGTCCAGAGCAATGAGTTGGTCTTCTTTTTCAAGAGTGTGGCGCAAAAACGTGCTTCCTTGGAGGAAAAATGGTGTTTATGAATAGAATCACACAAATACAAAAAAGCAAGTGGCTCTTAGAATATATGGAAGCAGTTTGAAGAATAACAATGCCAGTCCTCAGTTGTTCTAAATGGCATAAAAATGGTGAAGTGGTGCTAACTCTTCTAGTTCTCTTCCTTTGGTGTGAATGAGTTAGGGAGTAAAGTGGAGTTAATTTGGTATAGGGAATTGAAGTTAGGTGCAACAAGAATTTGGAGTGGATTTGGCTCAGCACATGCATGGCATCTCATTAGTTAGGAAGGAGGTGACAAGACTATAGAACTTAATTTGGCTTTATGAAGGAGAAAAAGTTAAATAACAACACTGATACTAAGTAAATAATATACAGACATATGACACACATACAAGTTGTCAAACTTTGATACTTGCATTATGATGAATTGAATACACAGACACACACAGAGACATTTTAAGTAAAGAGTTTGTTATTATGAGAGGTGAAAGACATTAATAATGGTCACTTTTTCTCTTTCTTGCCAATTAATTCTCTTCTCTCTCATACTAATTATTTGATCCAATGGCCATTATTAATGCCTCCCACCTCTCATAATACAAACTCTTCTCACTTGAAATGCCCCCTACACACACGCACACACACACACACACACACACACATATCCTTTCATATTGAATATATTAACCTTCTTTTGTGCATAAGAGAATTGATTTAGACCATTTTTGCTTTTCGATTCTTGGTTATACCTTAGTTCAATTATTTTAGCATAGTGCATATTCTGACACTGTTTAGTATTTAAGTTATAAATTGAGTTTTAGACCTTATTTAACGTGATTCTTGTTTTGTAAGAAAGTTAAGATATGGGCCTATAACTCTTATGAAGAAATCAAAGGTTGAATCTTAACGTCTAGAACCAGAATTGAGCATAAACTAAAAGAGAAAGGAGGCAAATGTGGATCCTGACCACATCATTTAATAACCTTTTATAGAATGCAATATTGATCAATCTAAAAGTTGAATAATCTTGTATTATTTTTTTTTAATATTCAACATGGCTAAAATGCCCAAAAATAGAAAATAAATTAGGTAATGGTCCTAGGATACCAAGATCCAACAACATCCAAATGCAAAAAAGGAGGCAAAGGTGGGGGAGCCTAGTCAAAACATGAAAAAGGCCTTTCACACTCAGCTCCAACTTTAGCCAGCTAATCAACACATTGGTTGGCCTCCCTCAATACATGGTTGAATTTAATAAATCGAATACATTTGACTAAGTTCCTAATTTCACTAATTATAGTATACAACGGATGATTACAATTAGGAAATTTAACAATCAAGGTAATGGCTTCCTTTGAATCACATTCAACCCAAACAGATTAAAGCTTTTTGGTAATGGCAAGCTTGAGACCCCAATAAACTCTCCAAAGTTCAGCAGTTAAGGGGAGCAAAGGTCCAAAATACTATGGTAACCTGCTATAAATCGACCTTGACTATCCCTAAGGAGGCCTCCACAACTAGTTGAGCCATGGCAAAGAGAAACAGCTCCATCCACATTCAATTTTAGCTAAGAATCCAGAGGTGGTATCCATCTAGTAAGGCACTAGACTTTCATTCCAACCGAAATAGCCTTTTGATTGGACTTGCCATAGAGGAGATAAAAATCAAAATCAAGTTTAATTCTATGAACTAGAGAGGCAGAATCTAAAGAAGAATTCAGGAAAATATCATGATTCGTATTCTTCCAAAGGTCTAGTGAGAGTAATTAAACTGATTGTGTTTATCTAAATTAAATTCAAGACAGCTATCAAGGCCTCTACTAAAAAAAAGAGGACCAAAATGCAGGGAGAACAAATTGATTCCAAACATGCTTTGCGAACCAACAATCTCTAAGAACATACATCACAAATTCCTCTCCATCCCTGCACCTAGAACAAATAGAAGAGTTAGACATGCCACAAATACACTTTTCAGAACATGCATCACAGATCTTGTATTGTTTTTATAATCACACACACACACACATATATATATATATATATATATATAATTTTTACATAATTTACATGGTATTCAGTCATATTTTAAAAATATATTATCCGTTAAAATAAAGTAATACAATGATTTACCTATTAATTTTATTTTTGTATAAAATTTTATAAATTTAATACTCTTTATAAGAACCTTTAATCAATGGTTTGATTGGTTAATTTTGTATTATATGAAAGTTCTTAAGTGGGATAAGTGTCTAAATTTCATATGTAATGTCAATGAATTTTGACTCTCTCTCTTTCTATATATATATATATATATATATATATATATATATATATGTATATATGATTTTAGTAAATATTCAAAAACATAGAATGATAGAAATAAAAATTATGATACGGGATTAACTAATTTGATCATACATGCTGTCAAAAGAAAGAATGAGTATATTTTAAATTGCAGTACAATATGTAAAGATACCAAGGTCGTTCTCATAAGGACTTTGTAAAGATTAACCGAATAAAGAGTGAATAAAACAAGAAATAAAGAATGAGGAATCCTAGCAACATTCTCTTACTTAACTTAAGAGTGAGAATGAGTGAAATTTACATTATTTTTGTAATTTTTAATAAATTTTAGTTAATAATTAAAAGTATATTAAAAAGTGTGTTAATAACATTACTTGTAAAAAATAAAATAAAACTAAAACTAATCAAATAGTATAAAAAGTTAAATGGGACTTATGGAGATTGGTAGTTATGATCGAGTTTATTTGATTTAAGTAGAAATAAAATAAAATTAAAATTAAAATATTTAAATGATATAGCATATGTACATGAAGTCACTTGGAATTGATATATGAGCAAATGCAAATAAGGTGTGTAGCACCAACACGTACTTAAAGCCACGCACTTCTACTTTATTGTTGCGATTTCCGGGGTAATTAGTGTATGGCACGAGTACAGAGATGCTTGGAAAATTTTCATAGTCATTAACGGAAATTAATAAAACAAGATTGGCATAGCACAAGTCAAATACAATGCATCTATATCTATACGAAAAATAATTCATTTTAGTGCTATAATAGAGATTTTCTGGACCCTGCAGACATTGATGAGTATGTGGACGATCCTTTTGTTGTGGTTGTAACTTCAGTTGTAGTAGTGTAGGAGAATTTGCACATATCCATTGGAGGTGCAAAGTACAATGGGACAGGCAACTTGGATGGAAGACTCGGCAAAGGAGCTTCAAAATTGAGGACACTTATCACTTGCCTAATGGAAGGCCTCATGGTATGATCAGGATGACAACACCACAACCCAACAATCATCAAGCATTCCATTTGCTGCTCCTCAAATTCCAAATTTAATTTCTCATCAGCTGCTTCAAATAGTTTCCCCTTTCCATAGAGGTTCCACACCCACTCTACAAGCCTAACTTTACCAGGCTCTTCTTTCACCTCAACTGGTCTTCTACCACATGTGATTTCAAGTGCAACAACACCAAAGCTATAAACATCAGACTCCTTACTAGATTTCCCTGTGGTGACACACTCTGGGGCTAGGTACCCCATGGTGCCTGCCAAAACAGTAGTTTGAGAGCCAAGTTCATGGTCTACTAGCCTTGCAAGACCAAAGTCACCAAGCTTGGCATTGAAATTTGCATCCAACATGACATTACTTGACTTAATATCTCTATGCACCACACATTGTTCCCACTCTTCATGAAGATATAGAAGAGCAGATGCTAAGCCTAAGGCTACCTTGTATCTTACTGTCCAAGAAAGCATGACTCTATTTCCAAACAGATGAGAATCAAGGCTTCCATTAGGCATATATTCATATACAAGAAGTAGCTCACCTTGTTCATGGCACCACCCAATGAGTTGAACCAAGTTCCTATGCCTTAGCCGGCTGATTACTCTCACTTCTGATATGTATTCCTTTTTTCCTTGTTTTGATCCTTTTGAAACCCTCTTCACTGCTACTTCAAGGTTGGAGTTTACAAGTAAACCTTTGTAAACACCTCCAAATCCTCCTTCTCCAAGCTTTCCTGCTTCTTCAAAGTTGTTGGTTGCATTGCTTAGTTCCTGATAGGTGAACCTTTTTGGACCAGTTCCTCTCTCAAATTCATCATCTATAGAAGCATCAACACCAGTGCTGTCCTCCTTTCCACCATTTTGTCCATTTCTCTTTCTCCAAAAGAAAAACCATAATAGCCCTACAACGCAAGTTAAAGACCCCAAACCCACACTTAAACCAACTACCAAACCAATCTTGACCCCTTTTCCTTTACCATTGTCCAAGTTTGAATTGAAAGACCAAGACAGAATGTTGTGTATTTCAATCCATGCACCAGTGGCAGCAGAAAAGCCTATTCTTACCGATTCTGGCAACACTTGCCTCAAATCAATGACATACCAAAGACTAGAATCGCCATTAAAAGTTGGATTATTAGCATAAGTAAGGAAGACAGAGAGATTTTTGGTGGTAGAGTTATATGATATCCAAGCATTAGCAATTGATCCATTCTTAATATTGCTCTTCCAAGTGACATTTGTAACTGACACAATGGAATTGACATTGATTCCAACATGATCAGAGCTTGGATCCCATTCATTCTTGAAACTGTCAAACTCAACAGCCACTATTTGATTCAGGCTAGTGTTGAATGCTGATTCCTGGCTGAATAGACCAAGGTATCCACCAGCTGAATTGTTTGGCATCACAGAATCAAATGGTGCAATGAAGAAGGATAACCCATCACCAAACATTGTTGGATCAACAGCTTTCATTACAAAAGAGAAATGGGTTGTAAAGTCTGTGAGCTCACTTGTTCCTCTATCCCAAAGCTTCACCGGTTGACTATAAGAGGCACGACCAACACTGCTTGTGATGGGGCCATCAAGTTGGTTTTTTGTTAGCTGCAAAACACCATTTGAGGAAAAGGCGTCGCCCTGAAAATCTATTAGATATAAGTTTGGTTTGAAATTAGAAAAATTGAAGGAAACTGACTCTACACTTTTGAAGAGTACATTGAACAAAGTGAAGAAGATAAGTATGAAAAACAAAGTATTTTGGGTTTGATTACAGTATGAGGCAAAACTGAAGAATACCATGACTGTAAAGCAATGGAGCAAGAGAGGTCGAGTGTGATGTTGTTGGGGAAGGAGTTGGCCAAAGAGTAGCTCAACTATATGCATCGACGAATTCAAAGTTTTTCACTTAAACTAATGCAATGAATAATTATGACATTAGCATGTTTTGAAATGTTCTTAGTAATTGGTAGCCTAGTAGGTATGACAAATTCAAAATCAATAATTATAAAGCTTAGTATAATATTTTCTTACAAATTTTCCTGCTTGCTAAATAAAAAAAATATTCATTATATATTTTCAAAATATATTCATATTTTTATTTAATACAATATTTGAAAGATTAATGAAAACATATAGATGATATAGCATTGTTTATAAAAAATATGTGGCTCCCACTTATTATACACAATCTTAAATGCTCTTGGGAGCATCATTTTAGTGGATCGGAATCCTTTCATTTTTGGCGCGAACATGACCCTCATGTTCTGCTATTTTTTCATTTTCGTTTAAGCAAAAAATAATTCGCTTAAGCGAAAATGAAAAAATACGAAACATGAGGATCATGTTATGGGAGAAGATCTTGATTCCATTTTAGTGTCCTGACCAATAAGCCTTATTCCTTAAGTTGAGTAATACGAAATTCATGTTTCTGCCACTTGTATTCTCTGCAGGTGAGTCATGAAGATGAGGATATATTCTTTATTATTTCATTTTTCTTTTTGTAGCGCATCATTTTATAATTTAAAAACTATTAATTTATTAATTTTAAAAAAAAATTTCAATTATGTAACGGGCACTAGTTCATTGTTTTATCTAAACTTAAATGACCTCTTAAACAAAACATTTAACCTGACAGAAAGAGTTCACTAAAGTGATCATAATTTTATTTAAATTTATATATGAAATTATGGTAATTAATTTCAATAAATATATTTTATCCTGAAAAAGTATGTTTAAACGTTTTATCAAGTAAAAAAAGATAAAAATAATCAGATCTATTTGGTGGTAGAAATTTTTTAAAGAAAGAATAATAATTATTCTTAATACAATAATTTTTTTTATCAAATAGTAACTCTTTTATTAATTTTTTAAAATATATTATAACAAAAAAAATTGACGGGCTTTAAAACAATTACCTTCTGTTTAGAATTAAACCGGCGCGCCTTTCATTAAGATATTAAATATCTAAATCGCATCTTTAATTGGTTGTAACTTTGTTTTTTTCTTATTTTTTTGGGTAAAAAATTGCTTTTCTGATATAAAAGTTGTACACTTAGCTAACTAATCATTTAAAATTTTAATATATACCTGCTGACCTAATCCAATTCATATAATTTTTCTTACTGGCTCCACCGGCCGGCATTTCGTTTTTTTCTTTTATTTGTTTGAGTTTCTTTATGGAGCATGATAAAAGAAGTAATAAAGATTGAATGAGGCCTAAGTAACAAGACAAATCTAAATCCTTTGTCAAATTAAGAAATAAGACACTGAGATAAGAATAAGATACAAATTAAATTATAAGTTCAGAATGGTGATAAACCAAACAAGTAATGCTTGGTGCCGGCCCTTTTCTATGAACTTTTTAAGACAATGAATATAATAATGCATTTGTATGATGAAAGAGGCGTGCATGCAAAGTTGATTACATTTGTAATTAAACTGGGAATTATTTGCTTAATTGATAGGACATAACAATGCCTTTGACGAGAAATAAAAAAAGGCCGTATGATGTCTTAAGTTCAACAACTATATGGGTATTCATTTCTTGTTAATCTTTTTAAACACATACAGGTTTTGGTCGAGGCTCGTAGCAAGTCTAGGTTTTCTAACGTAACAACATCTCCTTTCTCTAAATTTTCATTTTAAATAACCAAATATTCATTAACATGGCAGAATCCAATTATTGAAATATTAAACGTGTAACCCTCTTATTTTATTATTTAATTTTATTTGTAATTCATAAATAATTTAAAATTTTTAATTGAATCTCTTTAATTATGAAGTAGAAAATTTAACAAAGTTTAAACCTTAACTTTCAAGAATTTATTTCATAAAAAGTTTATCAATATTCAAAATGATAAAACTTAGAGTATAACTAAACTTTTACCATTATAGCAAAACATGTTAAAGAAAATTTAACTTGAACTGCAGAAAGAATATAAATATATTGAATATTAGTCGAGTACAAGAGTTTAATATTTATGAGTAATAATCAAAAGTACATTAAGACTCAAATTTAAATAATTATAAGATCAAAATATTCTAAGTCTTAATGAGCAGTTTGTCTCTATACCGACATGAAAAATGTGATTTTAGTCATCATTATTAAACCAGTCCTTTAACTTATTTTATTTTTTCTTGAGTCAAGTCTTCATAATAGAAATCTCTGGTATCTGCAGTGACCTTTGCAATACTTTCTTTTATTTATTCTTTGATAAATTGCTTGAGGTTAGGTGATATTGAGATGTGTTTTAATGAGTATTTAGAAGAGATTTGGTGTAGGGAGTCTCGTTTAAGAGAGACTGAGCGCCCAAAACCTCAGGATCTCAAAGTATTCTCGCTCAAGCGAGACAAGATAAACTTGTCCCAACTGTTTTCTTGAGAAGTGATCTCGCTCAAATAAGAAGGGATCTCACATAGGCAAGATGAGTTACTAAGACAAGGGCTCACATGAAAATTCACCAACTTTCTGGACCCATTCTCGCTTAAGCGAAAATGACCCTTGCTCCAGCAAGAGTATCAGAAAAAGCTTGGGGAACCATTGTTTGGTTTTCTCGCCCAGGGAAAAATGTTCTCACTCAAGCGAGAACGCAAGAAATTTGAGTGTATTTAATGAATTTTCAGTTAGCAAACTTGCATTGTAATCCAAGAAATATTTCTAAACTTTTCCTCTAAACTCGCTTTATTGTAACACCTTAGTTTAATTTCCAAGTAATAATTTCGCAAAATGGGAGTAATAGAATTTTCATTTAAATAAAAAGATCCCACATAGAGTTTCATAAAAAGTTCAAAACAATAAAGGATTACAAATTTATATCAAAGACTGCTATAGGACTAATTCAGTTACATCATAGTTTCAAATACAATCTAAGTCCTATAGCAGTTCATCCTTCCTTCACTGAGTCCGATGCTGATTGTCTTGGTCACCTGAAAAATAAATGTAAGGATGAGTACTCTACACTATCCAACACACATAAACATAGAGACTCACCTCAAATACTACACATTTACTAACATATTTTAAATCATGCAGCCACAATATTAGCGTCTCAATTTCAATCACAATCATCATTCATTATTCATCATCTATTCCAATTCAAAACACAACCGGTGCACTCACTGCCCCAATATTTCACACATGTGCGCTTACTGCACCTAGCCATGCTCACTGTGGCACTATGATTACAATTTCACATCATGAATGGTTGTCGGTTACTGTTCGGAGGGCAAGTGTACTCATCGAGAAGTAATAAAGGGTTCTTAAATTAAGTTCCCGAAATATCGTCCCACAAAGATTGTTTTCCAATTACTAAGAATTTTCTAATTCAATTGTTTAAGCTTCAAAGATATGAGATTAATTAAAACAAGAATTTATAAAATTAATTATAAACTAAGAGCAAGGAATACAATGTATGTCTTGGTTAAACTTATCGGAGAGGAACCTAGGGCATATGGGTTTTCTCATTTAATCCTTTATGTTATTCTTCTATTTAACTCTAAATTCGATTTCCTTGTGATTATCAATCATTCGTACGGATACTATTAATACCCAATGGTCATGCAATATTAATATTCTTTTCTCTAAATTACCATCACCAATGGTCATGCAAGACATCAATTTAAGAAAGCTTAAGGAACCTATGAGAGAATAACATAATAACTTAAATATAATACCACACAAGGAACCCGAGATGAAGGGGATAAAGAGATCAACAAAAGTAATATCACTGAGCATAAGCAATCAAAAGGATTCCCAATTAGAATCTTATATTTCCATACTTTTCATTCAAACATCAAACTGAGGTACTCTACTTTCCTCTCTCACTAAGGGACAAAATAAAATATCACTCAGTTCTCCTGGAGAAAAGTGTGCTACCATAGACTTGACTATGAATCGACTCTCTACTAAATAAATTAAATGCAAGTCAAAATCATGAGGTCTTTTTCAGGTTATAATATGGCCAGGGAGTTATAATAATTGAGGTGAGATAAATGAAAGAAAAGGGATATACAAAGGGGTAATAAATTATAATAACTATAAACATTCCCTAAGTTTACAAATGAAGCTCTTAGAGTAATTTTTATATTTTTGATTGTGAACAGTATCTTTACTCCTCTCTCCTTTCAATCATATATAACCTTTTTTTCTTTCTATTTTTCATTTTCTTTTTCATACTTTCTTTCTTTCTTTTTGCACATGAGAGATATAGAGGAGAATTAATCAAACAATTCAACAACTCAATTGCTCTATTCATAAACTCAAGGTCATCAAAATATTTTATAAATTTAATGCAAGGGACCAAGAAAATCAATAAAGTTCAAAGTGAACAACTAGTTGTATCTCAAACATGCTGAAGGTTAAGAAAAAAAAATCCTATTATGCCTCAATCATATTAAAAACATGAAATTAAAAGAGAAGTCTTAAGTCGGTTCCAAGTCAAGTTTTAGAGCACAAATCCTAAGGGGATAATCACACAAAACAATGAGAAAAGGGGTACAATTAATTAAATTAAGATAGAAATCTCCTTTAAGGCTCAAAACTCACATCTGTGGGTTAAAGTTTAATGTAGAGCATAAAAGTAAGGAACTTAGCTAATTATTAGTTTCCAAATGAAAGTATAATGCCAATAATAATCACTCAACATGCTCTTTTATCTGAAAAAATTGAGTTCCATGAGGGAAAAAGTTTTAAATTATCATAAAAAAATAGCATAGACACTTTACTCAAGAACATGCAATTAATATTATATAATTAGGAACTACTCCCCCATACTTAAAGCGAAACATTGTCCTCAATGTTT